CATGTGGGAGTATGCTAAGCCTGCCTTACATGATGATTTTGTCAGTTGTCACAGCCTGAAGCAACATATGATGGGAGGATTCTCGACACCACCTGCTTTATTTAATTACCCTCCTTCATCTTTCCTAGGAAGGCTGTCAAAGTACAATGAACCAATTTACAATTGCAACTTACACCGGCAAAAATATGTGAAAAATCGGAACTTAGTACATGTACGTTATCGATCGACGTTAAATACAAAAATACATTCGTTTGATATTATTTTACACTCATAAGGTCGGCGGAAGTATCAAATGATCGACTTTTATCGATCATATAGAATATAATCACGATTTTTCGGTAGTGTAATTTCTAAATCGATCCAATTAACTCTTGCTTCGAGTTTAACCCAAATCATCGTAATAAGTGAGTCCTTAGCATTTGTGGTGGACGAGATTTGGCGTCGGCCGGTTGTCCAAACAAAAGAGTGACGAAATAGTGGGATTCTGATCAGCATCACTTCAGAGTCATTAGCTGGCAATTAAATCGGTGATTAGCTGTTGTGTTATGTCGATTGCAGGTCAAGTGGCCATTCTTCATCCACCAAGCACACCCCGATCCCACTCTTTGGAACCAAACAAACCGAACAAAAAGAAAAAGGAAAAGAAACAGAGAAAACTATTTTGTTTTTGTTGGCATTGGTAATGATTTGTGGCCGGCCGACCGGCCCTTCGCCGGAAACACCGACCAAATTATTGCCCGACCATACTCTACAGTCCATACTCCATAATTCCATACCACAAGTTATGTATATATGTTCCTTCATAATTGTGCATTTGAGTTTGTAGTTTGTACCAAATAATTAGGTTTTCTTAACCATAGTCAGCGATAAATCTAGGACATAGTCAGTGGCGTAGCCAGAAATTTATCTAAGGTGGGTCAAACGTGAAAAAGATATATATAACGTATGTTGTTGAATGTGTTCGTGTTTTGAAAATTTTCTAAAATATATTCATCAAGCAAATTATGAGAGATGTTAAGATATCACAACGAAAAATCGTTCATGATTACACAACTCATCTTATTATGAAGTGTTTCTTTACTTTGCTAATTGCATAAGTACTCTTTCAATACTTGAATGACAACCGATAGCAACAAACAGGTCTAAGTAATAACATTACTTTTCGAGTTTTTGTATATACTAAAATCTCTTATTGAATATATAAACTAAAAGTTAAATAGAGATCATAAAACATTACTTTACGTAAAATTATCTACAATTATATAGAAATTTTGTATTTTATCAACAATCATATAAATTAATTTACTCCATATTTTTTGGGCCAAGGTGGTGCAAATGACCCACATTGGCCTCATGTGGCTCCGCCACTGGACATAGTATAATAATACTAAGTCACGTTAGAATAGAAAACTAGATATTGACTAGCACTAGATTGAAAGAGGCGGCAAGTGAGAAAAAGTAAGCAAGCAAGGAACAAACACGAGACAAGGATTTTACGTGGTTCGGTCTCTCGGTGTGAGAGACTTACATCCACAAAACACGAACTGCTTTCTTATTATGTTATGGCCAATGGCCTTACAACCCACATATTTATAGCCCTATCATCAAGTAACTTTAGGGCTTTACAAGAAGGAGAAGGAAGACTACTTCTTCTCGTACAAGGAGAACTTGGATCCTTGTCCAAGTCTTCTACTGATCTTTCGGCCATGGATGGAATTTCAACATGGTGGGCCTGCACGTGGCCCAATACGCCCCCGCAAGCTGAACTGTGCAGGTCACGAACATTCAACTTGGACAACAGGAGCCGAAACCGATCGGCGCCTAACCCTTTGGTGAAGATGTCGGCCACTTGCAGCTGGGAACTGATTTTGCAGGGCAAGATATCATGAGAGACAACCCGTTCACGAACAAAATAACAATCCATCTCAACGTGCTTAGTGCGCTCGTGGAAAACAGGATTGGCGGCGATGTGAAGAGCAGCCTGATTGTCACAAAACAACGGAGTAGGTCGGGACTGGGTAACACCAAGTTCACCGCTGCTCTTTGTGAACTCGGTTTCCGTTCATCCCCTGCCGATCATTCTCTCTTCATCTATCGCCGCGACAATGTGTTCGTCACTGCTCTTATATAAGTTGATGATGTGATCCTAGCCGGTAACGACTTATCCTTCATCAATCGGGTCAAGACATTTCTTGATCGTCGTTTTAGTATCAAGGATTTGGGGCCCCTTCGCTATTTCCTTGGCATTGAGGTTGCTCGTTCTCCTCGTGGGATTGTTCTCAGTCAACGTAAGTATACCCTGGATATTCTTGAAGAAACGGGTATTCAAGGAGCTCGACCCAGTAAGTTCCCTGTCGAGCAAAATCATCACCTAACACGAGTTTCCGCTGCTCCCCTTGCGGATGGTTCCGCCTATCGACGTTTAGTCGGTCGTCTACTCTATTTGACAGTCACTCGTCCAGACATCACCTACGGTGTCAACATCCTCAGTCAGTTTGTGCATGCCCCCAACCAGGCTCTGATACCATGAGAAAAAGTAAGCAAGCAAGGAACAAACACGAGACAAGGATTTTACGTGGTTCGGTCTCTCGGTGTGAGAGACTTACATCCACAAAACACGAACTGCTTTCTTGTTATGTTATGGCCAATGGCCTTACAACCCACATATTTATAGCCCTATCATCAAGTAACTTTAGGGCTTTACAAGAAGGAGAAGGAAGACTACTTCTTCTCGTACAAGGAGAACTTGGATCCTTGTCCAAGTCTTCTACTGATCTCTCGGCCATGGATGGAATTTGAACATGGTGGGCCTGCACGTGGCCCAATAGCAAGGGATGGAAGCAAACATATCTCATTTGCTATACTAGCTCGACATCCAGAGAAGGGTTGGATCGTGACCACGGGAGGCCTCCCCCTGGATCAGCCAATATATACGACACATCCACTAATCACACATTACCTCACACTATTTTTTTTATAACGCACCAGATTCATCAATTATGTATTCATTATTGTACATTTATTTAACAATCACAACTTTCAAACAATCAGTCATGATTTACTTTGATACGATGGACAAGAAAACACATTTATCCGCACAAAAATCAACCATGATTTACTTTGATTTGAATAATTTAGGATTTACGAATTCAAGGTTCGGGTTTGCATTTTGAGGTCTTCCATTAGGTATTATAATTAAAGAACTAAGAATTTGAGATTATGAATCGATTAGTTGTGATCCTATTGTATATATTTTTGTGAGTGTACCGTAAAAGCCGCCGGAACCAGTCAATAGTTTTTTGGGTCAAGACCTGGTCAATCCGGCGAGGACTTTTGGTGGCCAAAGTAACAAAAGCAAATGCTGAAAAAGCCGGTCAGCTTGAAAACGAAAAGACGAACCAGGCACGTCTCGGCGGTATGGGTAAAAAGTAGGGCGCGCCGCCCATAGAATCGGAGAGGGAAAACAAGAGGCCCAACTAACCAAAAAAAGCCCACAATAAATTACAAAAAAAATGGTGGGCAGAAATATAACAGGCCACACTGCTACGTGTCGGGCAAAGACGCCGTCTGAGTGTCACCGCGATACGCCGTGCCGTCGTTCTATCAAGCTTGCGCATTCCCCACGGCAAAAAAGACCCCGTCAGTTTAAAAAACGGGATTGGTTTTTTTCTTTCTTTATATTTTCCTTTTTCCCCCGATAGAAAAAAAGAAGAAAGTGCAAAGAAATTAAATAGCCGAACGAACGGAACGGCTCTCGCCCACCGCTTTCCTTCCGGAAACCGTTGGATTCCCCTTCCAACAAGACTAAACCATCTCACGCGCCTTCCGCGCGTTCCCCACTCTTTCTCACCCGGCCCTTTTCAGCATCAGTCCCTGAAATTCCTCTTATTTTCCTCTGTCACAGTCAGTATGGTATTATTTGTTATTATCTTGCCAAATTGTTAATGACAATAAAAGGAATATTATCACACGTCTTTGCATGTTTAAATTTCGGGAAAATTCAGAAATAATTTGAACTAATATCCCATATTTGTTTTCACTCCAATAATTCCAATTTAATCAATGTGGAGGTGCGTGCTTTATTCCAGAAATGAAGCTGGGTGCCAATTTTTGAATGGTATTAACGTGGGGAAGGGAATCTAGCTATTATGGGAACAGATTCAATGCCCCTAAATCATTATATGCTAATTCTTGGTAGCAAAAATAATTAGATACGTATCTTTGAAACTATAAAGCAAAATCTCCTATATATGCCTTTAGGAGAGCATCTACCTAATATTACATCCCAATTATGGTTTCTTGAAGCCAAAACAATTATGAAAATAGATTAGGAGAGATATCAATCATCTCTCTTAACAATTAAAATGACGATTAATATGTAGTTAAATTACAAAGAATGATAATTTCGTCACTAGAAAATTAGTAAGTTGCAACTCTAAGAGATTGACATAATGATAATGTGGGTATGAGAACATCCACCACACACTAAGTTCGAATTTTAGAGACAAAACCAACGAAAATTAATAAGCAGAACCATTACGGATTTACGGTTGATTGTTAGGATTCATGGCACGCGTTTGGTATTTTGTAAGGTAAATTTCTTCATTATACTGTCTATTCTTGGTATTTGATGATTAAAGAGTTAATTAATTACTTAAACATGGTTTGGTAAGAGAATAGTTACGAGTAAAAGGGAGGGAAAAGGAATTCGGGAATGGCGGTCAGGAAAAGGAATAAATAATTTTCAAACTACGAGGGGTACCATTGCAAAAACAGAAAAGTAAGCATCCTTCGACTGCAAAATATCGCGGAAATCCCGAAACTACCCTACTCACGCGCCACCATCCTTCCTTGCAAAATAGTATAAATTCATAGCTGGAGTTAAGCTAGGTTTGCCGAATTAGCTAGCCGAACTGGCTCTTAAGAAATTAAAAAGAAAACCTCCCCTTTTTTTCCTCTCTCTCCCTCTCTAGATTCTTCTTCTTCACTCAACTCAGAAAATGGCGATTACAGCAGCAACCGGATCCTCGAGGCGGTCAACAGCCGGCGGATCGGTCAACCGGTCCTACTCCCAGTCCGGCGGCAGATTCAGCCTGTCGTCGTATCAGTCTCCGTACTCCTCGTCTGCCTCAACCGGCTTCGCATCATCCAGTTCCAGTTTCGCGACGCGGTCATCCACCTTCTTCGCTGGGAACCCCGTCAGATCCGCGTCTCCTCCGCGAGTCAGCATGTCCGGCCACTCCATGTCGGCCTCCGCCGTCCGATTCTCTCTGGACCGGTCGGTCTCTCCCAACCGGTCGATCTCTACCGTCAGCCCTTCCCGCAGCCGGCCGCAGGTGGTGAGGAAGCAGCCAGGTCCGAAGAAGACGTGCATGTGCTCGCCGACGACGCACCCCGGCTCGTTCCGCTGCAGCCTACACAAGAACCAGAACACGGCGCACGCGTCGAGCTACGCGCCGAACAACCGCCTCAACGCGCGCAGATCTGCGATGACGAACTCGCTGGTGAGGATCGGCGGCGTGGAAGGGGATCTGGTGAGGCGAGCGCTGGCGGCGTTGATCCGCCCAAGTTCGCACCAGCAGAGGAGGCGCGCGGCGTTCCAGCCGAGGCCGAGCAGGCTCAGCTCCATGTCCAAGTCGACGGAGGAATCGTAACGGTTTGTGGAAAAAAATGGAAGGAACTCGAATCACTCTCTCATTTTATTCTCTCTTGTGACTTGGTCTCCGATTTTTTTTAATGGCGACGGAGGGCTCAGATCTGCGGTGAAAAGCGGTTTGACTGAAGAGGTTGGAGGAAGTCGGGGAAGAGAACGGCCTGGAAGAAATTCATTTCTAGTGTGTAACTCCGGTGACCGGGAAATAGTGCCCCCTTTGTGTATATAGAAGGCTATATGAAAGTTATATATTCGAATTTACAGCCAGCAATGGCGAAGTTTTGGGAATCATTAGGGATTTAGTCAGCAAAAAAAGGAAATCAGTTCATTGTTCGTCGAAAGATTAACTCCAAATTCATTGTTAATTCCTCGGCGCCGTTAGCCGTCCTCCCATCCGTCGTCGTGTTTCCCGTGTTGCGTATCTCCGTTCGCCGTTCACCCGTCGTCCGTCCCGTTCAGTCCGTCGTCACCGGTGAGTTCGTTCATTTTTGTATGTTGATTATTTTCCTCGTTTACTGCGTTAATTTTTGTTTTACTTGTCATTTTTTACTCGTTTTCTTGTGTTGCAGGTTCAATTATTGGCGGATTAGAGCAGTAAATCCATGCTTACGGAGCCAAAAATGGTGATTAGTGTTTAACCATGGACTGAGGATTGGATTCGCCTGTTGAGAACTCACGAAAGGACGGAGAAAGAACTCACGAAAGGACGGAAACCTAGACGTTACCATGGAGAAACAAATTGAACTCGGTCAAGGACGGAAAATTCAAAATAAATAAATAAATAAAATGGGGGAAATTTGGAGGATGACGAATAAAGTTTAGAAATTAGGTTGAAGGGGGAAAAATTTCAATTAATGGGTTTCCTTAATTTAATTGATTAATTGTTAAATTTAAAGATGAGACTGTCCCTAATAAAACGTACTCCTGAACGGGACCTTTTATCTAGAAAAAAGGAAAACGTACAAAAGCCAGGCTGGAGAAGAGGATTAATCAGTATACTAAGATGGGTTTTGAAACCTCAAGGATGATTTAAATTATGAAAGAATTCATTTGTTAATTTTCCACAAGCTCCAGAAATGCTCAAAAACACTGTAGATGATTGTACAATTGAGGTTGAGACGAATTTCGAGATGATCAAAATGACGCAATTCGATCTCCAATTGGATAAACTACTGGGAAATTAGGTTTGATCGGCTAGAATTACAACAACCTAAGAGATGATGATGGCAACAATTTGAAAGGAAGAAAACAAAGAAGAAATGAGTGGCGGGTTCCTTGGCAAGTTGGGCAGCTGGCCGTCACTACCAAGAACAGTTTGGGAAGGAAGGAAGGAAGAAGAAGGGGAACTTTTTTTTGGGTGGGGACTGTGATGTCATCATCTCAACATCCGCCATTACTACTGATGTCTCTCTTTTTCTTTCCTTCTTCTTCGTCTTTTCGGTTCTGGTAGGGGTGGGCATACGGTTCGGTAAAACGAACCTAACCGAACCGAACCGAATATAAACCGAACCGAAACCGAATTAATGTTATTCGGTTCGGAAGAGAAAATGACATATTTCGGAAACCAGGGTTCTTTCGACCGAACCGAATTTCCGAATTCCGAACCGAAAACCGAATTATTATAATTTCAAGTTCTAAATGGTGGATTTTTATGTTTCTACTTATTATGATACTTAAATATTTGAATCATGTTAGTGTTTTATGACTTATGTGTTGAAATGTTTGATTTTATCATTGATGATACATATTTATTGTTTACATCAGGGTGAAAAATAATTTAAAAAAGAGAAAATACAAGCTAACCTCACTATTTCGGTTTTGTATGAAAAACCGAACCGAACCGAATTATAATTCGGTTTGAACCGACCGAACCGAATTATAATTCGGTTCGAATTCGGTTTGAGGTTTGATAGAATTCGGGGACCCGGTATGCATAATTTCGGTTCGGTTTGAACCAAACCGACCGAATGCCCACCCCTAGGTTCTGGTAATGAAGGAGGAGGAGAGGGAGAGGATGGAGGCTCCATAATTAGTGCCGGCTATTTGATTTGGGTTTTTTGGTTTTACCCGAAATCGGACCGTATAACCCGGACCGAGACTGGACCGAGACCGAATAGTAAACAATTCAATTCAATATTTGGGCTTGGATTTGAGGTAAAAAACCGTTCGGGACCGGATCGAAAACTGGATAAAGACCGGATAAGAGAGCTCAACACCCAAAACTTAAAGGTAATTTGCATAAACGGTCACAAACTTTTGCACTTAGTACAAAATTAACCAACTCCTCACCCTTTCAGGCCTTAGCCCACTCAAATCCCCACAAGCTCAATATAAAATCAAGACCGAATTGGGACCGGACCGGGTCAAGATCGGACTGTATCCAATCCAAGCTTTTGTCCTTATATTTTCAAAAAGACCGGACTGGACCGAATCAATTTGGGCCAATTTAACCGGACCAGACCATATAGCCACCCCTATCCATAATAAGTAACCCTGCGGCGCCCACCACCATGGCTTTCCTTCCTTCTGTAATGGCTTTTCCCCAAGCTAGCTGGATAAGGTTTTCGTGACAACGAAAGGAGTAGTGGGTTTGGGTGGATTCCTCTCTCTTTCCCCTTTTCTTCTCTTATTCTTCTCTTATTTTCCCCCCTTACTTTGTTTCTGTTGGATGGGAATCCTGTGAAATAAATGAGGGTGAAGAGGAACCTGGGAATGAGAAGGAACACGGGCATGAAATTGGCAAAGGGGTAGAAAGGAAAGAACAAGAGCAAGTGGTTCCATTGGCCTTCATGGTATGTGAAACGAAAGCTAGTTTCTCAACTAAGTTATTTATCGTTTTGTGCGATCATATCCGGTAAAAAGAAATGTATCGATGACAACATTCCTGAATACTATGACATCTAGAAAGTAATTTTTGAACGTTTAACGGTTGTCTACTCTCTAAGCTTTGTCAGCGATACTGATATTCGCTGACGGTTAAATTCACATTTTACCTCCATGGTATAAACGGGATTGTAAGCAAAGAAGAGACACATCAACCAAAATATACTTCTTTCTCTCTCTTTCTTGTTTAAGAGCATATTTAAGGAGACTATCTCACGCTCAGTTCGAAACTTGAATGAGCGGAGGCTATCTTTCTCTCTATGTTGACTTTTTTCATCTGCTTTGGGTCTCTTCGCTTTACCTTGACAACGAAGAAGACGATAATTCTCTTTCTGTTTTCCAAATCTGTTGTTTCTCACAAGATTCATGGGTTGAATCTCTCACTCTTCCCCTTTTCCTGCCTTCAAATCCCCCTTTTTTAAAATGTCTTCTACCGTGACGCTTACATCTTTCGTGTCCGTGTGGGAGTCGCACTTCCTCATAGTAGTTAAGAGTACCGCCTAGCTGCCAAACTCATAAAATTTGTCAACCATGTCAAGCGGGCTTAAACAATATCAATGATCTTTATCTTATAACGAGATGGACACATCGATTGATCTTAGTGGATTTTGATCATTTCTCGACGAAGTACATTCAAAAGAAGCACGATCTTCTGGGGTTGCAAAATTAACTTTGTTTAAGAGCTAAAGTTTTCCTTCCTAATTAAACATAGGGAACATGTTAAACAGTTTCCTCACTCAAAGTTCAAATATGTTATTTGAAGGCATGGGTACTTTACTTTCTATGTATTTAATCAAACCTTTCAATTATGTCTACCCTGCGATAAAGAACACCCTTAATTAAAGAAAAGAAACGGGAAGCCCCAAAAAATATCAGTGTCACTAGTGGATAAGCTATTATTAAATTGATCTTTAGACCTCTATCTAGTCCTTACTCCTAGCTTGAAGAGATATATGGTCGATAAGAAAAAAATCAAACCCAATAGTTGACAAAATTGCAAACTAGAGTATACGTGGTTCTATCATCTAAGATAATGTAGAGGATTTTGATTAATTTTTTTAAAAAATTGAGTACAGGTGAGTTGATAGCCAGTTTAGAGAAACGAATGAAATAACATCTACATAAATTACTTCAAATTCTGATGAAAATTTCGTCAAAAGATCAGGAGAGTGATTATGTTCTTAGTAAACTTGAAACCAATTATTGTTTCCCATCACTAATCAAAACTAGCAATGGTGGATAAGATTGTGTACTGATCTCTAGACTCTGTGCTAGTAGTGGGAGAGGTACATAGGTTGATAAGAAAAACAAAACCCATTGACTTAATTGAAGCACACAATTAGAGGATAAGGATTGAAATTGTTTATACACTAATTAGCAATTAGTTCCGGGGAATACTAAGATGCCAAGTTTTTCTCTATTCAATTAAAACTATCTCTCACAATCATATACAAACCCCAAGAACCAAGTTGCAACACTTTTTTACACAAACAAGGCAAAGCCTTAATGGAAGGAGAAAGGGAAAGTTGGAGTGGAAGGATGTGTACATATGTTGATCATGATGGTGATAATAACTTGCAATACTGCACATAATTATGATGATAGCTAGTATGTTAGTTGGGGTGATAATCTAACTCGAACTCGTGGGTGGCGCTAACGGATTTTGAACCGGTTGTCAGTTTTACCCGCTTTTTAATTGATGGGTTGGCTGGTTGCGGTTGTGTCCCTGAATTCATGGGGTTCCCATGTACTCATGATATCCATTGTGTTAGGTTTTCTCTTCCAGAACCTAGTGATGAATGTTTATCGAATCTTTTCGATGGATGCATCCGCTAGATTGAGTTTAGGTTTAGAGAAAACCGATCCGACCTCGACCATTTTCTATCCCTATATGGCGGTGGTAGTGGTGGCATCCCACAAGAAGGTTAGTACACTTATTAGACCAAGGAAATGGGGGAGACCAAGGGCAGCCCAACTAGAAAGCTAAAGGGATATATGTGTAGGTTTATGGAAAGATCATTTTGGATATGCATTGGCGCTGCCCTTTGTTTGGCTTTTGGTTGGGGAGATTACCCAAAAAAAAAAACAAAGAGGAAGAAAGGGTCGACATCAGTCGAT